ACTTCTGTGTGCCCAAAACGGGGGGATATTCCCCCACAAGTGTACTTCTGTGTGCCCAAAACGGGGGGATATTCCCCCACAAGTGTACTTCTGTGTGCCCAAAAAAGGGGGGATATTCCCCCACTTCTGTGTGCCCAAAATAGGGGGGATATTCCCCCACAAGTGTACTTCTGTGTTCCCAAAACGGGGGAATATTCCCCCACAAATGTGCTTCTGTGTCCCCAAAAAAGGGGGGATATTCCCCCACAAATGTGCATCTGCCTCCTCAAAAAAGGGGGGATGTTCCCCCACAAATGTACATCTGTGTCCCCAAAAAGGGGGGATATTCCCCCATAAATGTCCTTCTGTGTGCCCAAAATAGGGGGGATATTCCCCCACAAATGTACTTCTGCGTCCCCAAAACGGGAGGATATTCCCCCACAAATGTGCTTCTGCCTCCTCAAAAAAGGGGGGATATTCCCCCCAAAATATGCTTCTGTGTCCCAAAAAAAGGGGGGATGTTCCCCCACAAATGTACATCTGTGACCCCCAAAAAGGGGGGATATTCCCCAACCACACACTCGGGGTGAAAAAACAAATAAATATGGTATGCGTGGATGTATTCGTGCACAGGCGGAGAGGAGGAGGCAGCACTGGAGTCAGCCTGATGCCTCGGCGTCTTCACACTGTGGCATTCACTGCCGAAAGTCAACAAAAACCATCACCTCGCAGCTCTAGTGCAGCCGTCGGATTTAGGAAGGACAAGTACGATACATAATTTTGCTTCCTGATTCCGCCGGCGTAAGTCCCTCGGTGTCTCAGCTCCTGGTTTGGCCTATAAAGATACGATATAACCTGTTCTGCCACTCTACCTTTTCTATTTCAGGTCCTGCAATAGGACATCTGCGTTATTCATGGCAGCGATCTACACACCAGGGCCCTGACTTTGTTTGACCCGAATAACGAAAGAGCAAATTAACACCTGAGCATCTTGGACAAAGCGACTGTTCTGCTGTTTGCCTGGTTACACTCTTAAAACATAACGACAGTCCTTTTTTTTTTAAAAAAAAAAAAAAAAAGACAGATGAGGAAGTCTGTCATTCTGTGTATTGCTATAAAATGATGCTTAATATAAAGCATTTAAAAATATCTTTTTTTTTTTTTTTTAACTTTATAAAGATAATTCCTTCATCCCATGTAATGCAGACCATAGAAAACATTTCCCGTTAGCAGTAATGTGACTCATCTTCAGTTACTGCAGGTTGCTCAGTTTTCAGACAACTCCCCATTTTCACTACTCAGAAGGGATTATTTCCCCCATGACAACTCTTCAGAGTGGTATTAACGCTGGGGTTTTTTTTTTGGTTTGGTTTTGTTTTTAAAGGAAGAAAAAGTTGTTTGCTTTTTAGCATTTCCCCTGCGAAAGGAGCCTCTCTCACCGTTTTGTTGATCTTCAGCTTCTTAACTCTATCTGATGACTTTTATAAAAGCGTTTGTTAAGGTGAGGTAGATTTCTGTGTATTTTCGGTTACCACCCCACTTCAAAGCACACTTTCATCATCTCGCTTTCGAAGGGCCCAGTTCTGAAATTTTAGAAATTTTACAGAGAGTTCCAAAGAGCTCTCTTCAGCAGCCTCAGACCCTTGCTAGGTCACTAACCTCTCATTATCTCTTTCCTACTGAGTTTCACCCTTTGCTTGTTTTGTGTTCCTCTTTCATTCTCCCTCAATATTTAGTTAATTAGCAAATTTCACTTTCCTGTCTTGTTTTCTTGATGAGGCACTGCATCATCTGGCTTTTCGAGTTTCTTACACCCAGCTGAAGCTTGAGTTTGAGCACTGGATTTTTTTTTTTTTCTCTGCCTCAGGTTCAACCTTGAAAAGAACATCACACACAAGAAGTGTCTTACCACTTCAGCAAGAGTCCAACCCCTATTTCCTTTTTCTACTTTAATTCCCATGGGTGGATATTTCAAGCAATCATTTATACTCCAGAGGTAAACAGAGAGTTTGTGTCTGTTGTGGCGATTAAGCTCCCCTTTTGGAATACAGTATGACTGCCAACGAGGTGGTATGATTGCCATCTTTAGACATCTGTTTTGGAGTCTCTTATATTTGATGTATCAGTAAGTTAGCTCCTAACTGGTGAGTGATTTTTTTCCCGTGTAGTCGATTATGGTAAATTGTATTCTCTCAAAGTGTTGACACCGCAGCCTGGATAGACAGAGAATTTATTTTGTTGACTTATGTGCTTTCCTGTTGCTTCTGTGCCTGCACCTGCCACTCTGCCAAGGATTTCATGTCCATCTTCCTCACAGTCCATGGGGTTTTAAATAGACTGGATCAGTTCTGTCATATACTAAAAAGTATTTCTTTCCTGCCAGGCAACTTTCGAGAGCACTGACTTCTATATGGCTTTAATCAGGAGCTGTCACACGCACAAGGGGTCAGCAGTACTCTTTGTTGAATGGCCACTTTTGCAAAAAGCCTAAATCTGTTTCCTTAATCCGTTGTTTTTACTAGGCTGATTGTCAGCTATCTCTGCTTTATCCAGGCTTAGGACTGGGCAATTGCGTTAAATCAGAGTGTGCTGACAGGGCAGTTCCCTTGTTTTTTTACTACGCTAATCAGTCAGTCTGTATGGTGTGCTTATATAGTCCTTACACTGCAAAGGCAAGGACTACCTTTTTGTTCCATATTTGTAGGGATAATTTAATGTGTCTCCGAGTCCACAGCTATACTGTTTTACACTAAGAGCAATAATAAATAGTATTATACCGAAATCAAAGAGAAGGTCTTGCTGTTTCACAAGCAATCATCTTGGTTGATCTTAAGAGAGCAAGAAATTTATTTTCCAAACTTAAAAATGGAACCCTAGTGCTAGAGCTACAAAGTCAATATCTGGAGTTAAGAGCTGTGAAAGACTTGCATGATCTTTGAAACAAATATGAAAGACCATCTATTACTCTTTAAGAACACGCTGAAGCATGAAACAACACGAAAACCAGTTTGTATCATGGTAGATGTGAAATGAGTGTGTGATAAAAGAACATATACTGAAGAGCAAGACATTTACACAGAGGGGAAGACAAGGGTAACCGTGCTCAGATTTTCAATACCTAGCTTTTAGAGTCTGGCTTCTGGGGCAAAACCTCCAGGTCTCTCTTTACAGTGCCTGGGAGACAAAATTTATCACAAGGAAAAGTATTCTCAAGTGCCAACAAATGGAGCGGGAAGGCACCAGAGAGTGTCAATAAGGGCTCTCACTCTAGAGTTGAGATGGCCATTTCTGCTTGGGATTCACAGTCTAGACACTTTTTCCTGTGCTTGGTGCCTGAACTATTTTCATGTAGTTAATGCCTGAATTATTTCCAAGGCTGAAGAGAGTCTTCTTTTCTTTTAGAAAGACTTGGAAATGGAAGAAGCTCTTTTAATACAGCAGCTACATTGTAATAGATCGTTCAACCATGATACGGAAAACCTAAGCTTCTGACCCTTTCTCTGCCTGGGAATGCATTTCTATAGCCCGCTGACTTTTCCAACATAGCAAAAGCAAGGAAACACAGAGAGTCAGGAGCAACTACTGCTACAAAGCTAGGAAAAGCAAAGCCAGAGAGAACTAGACAGAAGTAGTTTGCTTTCTGTTTCGCGTGGAACTCGGCTCCTGCTTCCTGACTGGCAGGGGATGTGTATAGGGCTGGTGCAAGCCTGCTCTGTATGCTAAGACTGAAGCCTGCTTACACTTTAGATTCACTTCAAGTATTTAACACTGCTTAGATTTATTTAAAAAAAACCCATGGCCACTTGTTTTTCCTCTGTGAACCACTCCACGGCTTTGTGTGGTAGGTAGGATGGGTCTCCTGACTGGTAAGGTCACAAGACGGGTGACAGAAGTACCAGTGACTGGGAATCAGACTGACAAATGCTTTTCTTGGCAGGAAACCTGGTTTACATCATGAAATTTAGCCTGACTTTCTTTGTGGGTCTAACCCAAGATCACACAAATAATCTGCAGCAGAAGAGAACCAAACCCTCAAGCACCAGGACAGTGCCTAAAGGAAGACTGCAGAGGTTTTGTGTTCGTTTTAGGCAAACCTTCCCTTGATTCAACACAGACACATGGATAATACATGAGAACCAGAAAGTAACACCAACCTGATTGCTCTAAGGAAAGGACCACATAGAGGGGAAAAAAACAAAGGAAAATTTGAATTCCTTTCAGCCTTATTAGTCTAAAATGTGAACTGGAACCAAATCAGGGGATATTTAAAATATACGTGCTATCTAATATAAAATATAAAGTGCCACATTCTTCCCTCTGAGACGCCAGGGAATTGCACTGTACTGCCAGGGAACTGTGTATTGAGTAATAGTGGAATTACTCAAGAGAGGAATTAGTCTTTTGGAAAGGATTCACAACTGCTGCCATTGTTTAGTATTTTCCTTGTCACAGGATACAAAGTAAGCATCTGTGGAACATAGGAAATATCCTGCAGTATTTCAGCATTAAAAATATCAGTGTTCTAAAGGATGTTGGCATTTCTGAGAGGAACTGACTGGAGCATAATTTTATTTCATCTGAAATCTCTATCATTTGTGAAGGATGAGCTGTTAAATAAAGGTAAATTATTTTTTTTCAGATTCGCAGCCAAAAAAAGCACTTCTTGACCAATGCCGTTAGTGATGCTACTCAAAAAAAAAAAAAAAAAAAAAAAAAAAAAAAAAAAAAAAGGCACTCCTATTTCTAAAAGCACTTGTTTAGACTTTATTCCTTATTATTTTCGGTTTAATTTTTCTGCTTTTGATGTGCTATTCAATATTGATTCCTTGCAACAAATGTATGTTGTAACACTACTGAAAAAATACTTGGAGTGGTATTTTTTTGGAATACTGGTTATTTATTGTCAAGTACTTAAATTATCCCTGCTTTAGTCAAATTTAATGATTGATACTAAAGTGTGTGCTACTGAGCTCCCTCTGGGCAGCAAACTGCTCCAATAGTCTGTGTGCTAGTGGATGAGGAGAAAGTTCAGTCACCAGACAGCAGAATGGAGACATGAGTGTGTAAATCCTTACAGTGCCGTTCAAGCCATTCCAGTTTTTATGCCAAAGGCCCTGTAAGGAATTTCCTTGAAGCTCTCTCAGGTGAAGTGTTCCCTGACAAAACCTGAATGAGGGTCAGGCTGCTGGAGCTCTCTGCCTTGCTGCTGAACCCCCTGGTAGGGATGTTTGTTCTGCACAAACGCATTGTGCATCCCCAGCCAGAATTTTCTTGTGTAGCTCTGTCTAGATGACAGTGAACTGGGTGCTTTTAAAACTGCCTATATTTTCAAATCCTGCTGCAGACAGGCAGAGCTGAATTTTAGTACATAATAACTAGGTAAGATGAATGGTAATTTGCATGGAAGACTTTAAGGATTCGGCTGTATAAAATTCATCACAATATTGAAACTCCATCCCCTTTGCCTAGTTTCAAGTTCGGTCATAAATCAGCATTCATTCATTAGTGTTTGCTAAACATTGCGCCTTTTGTCATAAACCTTGGCTCCAGTTTATATGTATGCCAGTAGATTTATATTTGTATAAATTTAATCTGGCTAAGACTTCTGTTGCTCTTTGTTTGAACACAGAGATTCCAGCTTTCGTGCAGAGATTTTACCAGAATTAGTCTGAAGTCAGGCTCCGAGAGAATCTCAGGGCCTGGCAGGCCCTCTAAAGAAGACTTTAAAAAAGAGTTTGCACAAAGTCCCAGGAACAGGAACTGTAATATTTCTCCTCTTTTTACCATGTTGCTGGGATGGAGCTGAAACCAGAGTCTTGGACCCAGCCGTCCCAAACCTTGAAGAAGGTCAAATTAAAAATTTGATATATTGCTCCAAACCAAAACCTGACCACTAATAGCTGTTTTTGACAAAACGGTTCTCTCAAAAAATGCTGTTTTGTTGGATTCAAGACATTTTGCAAGAATGTTTTGATTTCAAGGAAATTTTAAAGGAGAAAGAAAGTGAGCGCAGTATTTCAGTAACGTCAAAAAGATTTGCTTGGGTATCTTTTTTCAAAGTACTTTTACATTTCATTATTTCATGATTCATTACATTAGTATTTTATAACTCTTGTACTATAATAGAGTTACAGTGACATATTCTGGCATTGTCAAAATACATAGCTTAACTAAAATGTTGACCTTAATGCTTCTGTAATAAAGGGAAAACACATGTAGATATCTAAGAAAAATGAGATCAAGATGATTTCAACATAGGCCTGCAATTCAATTTATTCACGTGGAGCGCAACACGGGCACAGAGCCCCACTGACCTCGGTGGAGATTATTAGGGCTGATGTTGCATGGAATTACGTTGCACATTTGATTAAATAAGCTTACTGATGTTCAAAGGAAGACATAGGCACATTCAGACCTCACCTGGGAAACTGCAGGCTTTGGTCTCACTCCTCATATGGTAGTTGTCGTCTTTCAGTAGCTCTGTAACAGAGAACCTAAAACACAGATGGTTTAAGTTAACATGTATGACTTTAAGTGCATCGGAGAAGAATTGGTTTACACACTTAGCACTGGTCTCTTCCCACACCTGAGACAGGCTGGGTCTGTGCTAGCAGCAATCATTTGCTGGGTACTTCAGCATCATCATGGCAGCATCAGTGAGCGTCACATTGCTGCACCTGAGCCTCAGGGAGAATCTCTTCTCCTCTCCTCTCATCTACTTGGGAAAAGGAAGATGCAAACAGGAGGCTCAACCATCCTCTCTTGTCTGGTCTGCATTGCCATGAGGGATGTGTGTCTCCCTGATCATACTGGCTTAACCATCCTTGACAGAGCAGAAGGAAGGAGAAACTATCAAAGAGAGGCACTAGCCTTGTCTGGGACATAACAACTAGCACCAGCCTTGCCTGGGACTGACACCACCGTCTCCCACAGGATCACTGCCCAAGCTTCAGCCTGACCCAGGACATTGACTGTGCTCCCCTATTAGGGTGGAGAGGGGACCCCGAGACATTCAGCAGAGAAACACGGGACGGTAACAGTGTGGGCAACAGATGACCCACGAACAAAGCCAATGTGCAGGGTAGTTTTGGATACACCGATACTATCTGTGTACTACACAGATCCCAATTCTGGTCTGTTCATATTCTGAGTACTAGAACCATATATTCCATATAAGCTAAATATAGATCCAAATATCAGTATATATCTGTTATTTTACATGGGGAAATTGTCTGCTTTTGTTTATATTTGGCAAAAAAAGAGTTAATGCCTGATGATGAATCCTTTGTGCTAGGAAGCTTTTGGATTGTGCCATTATCACTGCCGCCCAGGTGGAAAACTTCAGGTACTGTTCTGTTTATAAGAAGAATCACTAAAAAGATCATTCTCTTCCTTTCTGGCAGGTACCTTTATATCTCTTTTACTGAAAGGTCTGCGAAGACATCCACGTTCTCAAAGAAAACAGGCAACTGCCTTTCCGTTTTCCAGGAAGAAATTTGAGAGGACCGATGAAAAGAATTACTAAATAACATGAAGTGCTGGTCTGATACTGGGCACAGACTCCTTACTAACTGTAAAAGTCTCTTGATCCCTCCTCGCAGAGCACATGGAACAGTCGGTCACTGGCTTGCAGGTAAGACTCGGGTATTTCCTTCTTGCAAAACTGTTTTGTGATTTAAAACTTTACCATTAAATTATACGTATGCATTCCCCATAGAAAAGTCGAAGAGAAACTGTGGGGAAGCTGGCAGAAGACTCTGAAATTTAACAGACAGAACTTTTCAGTTTGTAAAGGAAATTGCCTAAAGCAGCCATTTATTTACTTATTTAATTCAATCTCTTTATATTTCATTAAATAAAAAGTTTCCCTGCAGCTATTCCTGCTCTTCTAATTTATTCAGAAATGGAGAAGGGAGAAGGAATGGCAAGTAACAAAAAGGAAAAAAAGGCTGCTTGGTTGAAGCACACAGCAGAACAGAATAAAAACACGAAGGTATTGAGACTAGCAAAATGTCTATTGGCAAACAGTGCCAAACAAAAAAAGAGACTTTAAATATACATTGAAAACACATAGATCTGTACACAACAGGACTGGTTACTGAAGCCTATCTTTACAAATAGATAATTAAATATTATGCACAGTGAGTATTCTCACTTACTGTGTTTGGTGAATGTCTCAATGGAAGTAACAGGTTCTTGAGAATTGGTTTATTTATGTACAACAGGGTGATAGAGAAAGGCTTATTGAATGGTCTGAAAGATGCTTAGATGCTCAGGCACGTTCACATCCAGTCTCGCACTTTATCTTAATGTCTGGACCGAAATCAAAGGAATTGTATGAAATGTCAGGTCTGTTTAACTGAAGTAGGTCACAGGAGTAGTCCTTTATTATTTCTCTTTTCCTGAAAAGGAAGAAGTAAACATATTTGTTATATACACATACACTTTGAAAGGCTTCAAATAGACAAGAGCAGAGGAACTAAGACAGCATAATCTTTATGTTACATATACCATTAAAGCTACCTATTACATCTTATTTTTTTGCTCATGCAAATAATTCTATTTATTTAAATGGGCTAAAGACATATTCAGCTTTACCCAGTATAAATAAATGTTTCGTATCAGTTTAATCTCCTTGTTAAATGCCTCCTCAAGTTATTCAGAATCTTCTAGATTTCTCTTCTTGGAGATACGGGAAGAGTAAGATTGAGAAAAGCACTCAGAAATCAACACTTTTGCGTGCAAGTCTTACAGAACAAAATAGATCCAAAATTCATACGAAATGCTGGAGGTAATGCCAAAATACGGGCATATCTTTCCAAATTCTGAGTGTGTTCTGTATCAAGTGATGCCTTGGAATGTTTGGAAAGCCAAAATAAAAATTTTAGAAAAATACACTGTCAATAGTGCTTGTGGCAATGATAGATAAATGCCTATAAACATCCCTGTGCAGTCCACTGAATGCAAACTAACAGGTGTATTGAAACATATTTAAGGTTTTAAGCAGTGGTTTTCAAGGAGATGAAAATAAAAATAAAGCACATCAAACTATCAAAACTAAATAAAAAACCACAAGTACTAAATAAAAAACCACAAGGACAGAGGCTTAAAGAATTACCCTCTTATGCTCTTCGTAACAATTTAATTCACGTATTGCCCACAACAGACATGCAGTCTGCATAAAACCAGACGTTTATTTGGCATCATCCTAATTATAGTCAGTAGTTCCAATGAATAAATAAATGCCTTGATCTTGCTATTGGATCAACAAGTTAACCTGCTCTGAGTCTGGTCACCTTCTAAGGAGCTCTGTAAAGGAACAAAATTATAAACAATATCAGTTTGTTTCCAAACTGGGGGCCTTGTCTTGCAAAACAAACACCAGCTATAATGACTAAAGAATTAAAATTAGTTTGAGGCTCCTCCCCTCCATGTAACTGATCTATACTTCATGTAGAATTGGGGAAATCTCATCCGGAAGGAAAAAAATGCAGTCTAAAATATTTTTATATATTCAACAGACAATTTTTATTGCAGATAATTGTATTTTTACCTAATTCTCTCAACATCACTATACAGTCCATTGAGTTTAAATGAACTCATATACTGTAATATTTTAAAGCCCTTCTGTATGAAGGGCATACAGAAATGGGAATCGGGGATCAGACTGGGTCCTTTTAAGAAACAAAACACTTGGGAGTTTCAGGTTTCAGACCAGGTGCTTGGAAAATTGCCTTCCTATATGCCAACTATATTTTCTTTCACTCTCACAGGCCTTTTCCAAGCTTAAATCCATACAGAGTGCGGAAAGACCCATATAGACTGCTCAGTATTTTTAAATGTATGTATCAGTTGCAGGATTTTGATTACCTGTCTGGACTGGAGATAAGTCTAGGTTACAGCCTTCTCCCGTCATATTCATCTTTGCAAATTGTTTTATTCTTGCAACCAAAACAGAGTAAGGAAGAAGGACAAATTTCCACTTCTGGCTGGAGACAGACTTAAGATAGTTCATTTTGTTAGTAAAGAAGGAAATTGTATTTGCCACCACCAGATAATTCAAAAAGTGTTAAGAAACTAGCTGTTTCTTCTGTGTTGAGTGTAATAGTGTGCCTGAACAAAGTGGCAGACCTGCTCTCAAGTGACCACTGCATACTTTTAGGGCTGAGGTGAAACAAAACGCTGAGCTCACCATTACTCACCACAAGTTAAGGCTGCCTGCCTAATTTGGTCTTAGCAGAACAAAAACCACAATCTGGGGACCAAAGAAACAAGTTCTCTGAATGACTAAAACCAACCTATGCCTTCTGTCTCTCAAAAACTGTCTGCAAATAATTAAGTTAGAGAAGAACAGTAGTAACTATTATAAGTCGGATGTAGCTCAGAAAATGGCTGCTTCCTTCCAGCAGCTGCCCAAACAGTATCATGGGAATTGTTTGGAAAAAACATCCCCTGGCTCCTATCCCCAGCAGAACTGGCACTATGCTCACCACTCAAGAGATTGTCTCTTAAAATGCTGGTCCAAACGTTAGTGCATCCATGGAGGAGAACGTGTGCTGACGGAGCCCGTTACTTTGAAGAAATGGTTCTGCTGGTGGCAATAGCAGAAGCGCTGTTGGTTCTGGGTTTGGCTGTGGAGACAGATTCTCTCTGCTCACCCACTACCTTTTACAAGAACTGCTGGATCCGACGCTTCCCAGGTCTCCTGATTGACCTGCGGGAATCGCAGAAGAGGGGAGCCCAGCTGCTGAAGATTTCTGCAGAAGCCTCACCCCAACAGTGCAGCAGAACCTGCTGCCTTCTGAGGAACGGTGAGTGTTTATTATCAAGATCATGGCACACGTTAAAATTTAGATCACAGCAGATGAAGAAAAACATTTTGGGTAATTTTTATATAAACATTCCTTTATTTAAAGAATAAATAGTCAGAGGAAAAAAAAAAAAAAAAAAAAAAGGCTATCTGTATTTTTTTGAGGCAAGAAGGAAAGCAGAGGCACATTGTAACTGTTCCCTTATCTTCAGTCCCATAAAGCAGAATTTGATAATCTGAATTTTTTAGAAGATTACACTAGAAACATGAAAATCTTAGGGTCTGCTTTGAAATTTGAGACGTCTGTTACAAAGTTTGTGGGCAATGCCAATGTTAATAACTCTTCGGTATCCATCACCATCATCTACACCTGTAGAGAAAAATCAGTGACACTGATTCCAACAGGACTCTTCTTCATGGAGTATGGTACTAGGCTAGGACATGGTGAGGGGGAAAAGGGAGGGAACACACAATTTGACCTTCTCTGAAATACAAGAATATTCATTTTCTTGAAGAGGGCACTCTCTTGTTCTGTGTTTACATCATGTTTCTGGTGCAACTCAAGTATAACATATAGAAACAGTAAAGTTATAGCAATAAATAACAGCAGTTACTCAGCAGGCAACCCCTTTTCTCTAGCCTTGTAAACTCAGACTCAGAATAAAAATAAGAAAAATCATTGCTTGTCTTAAACCCAAGTCTATACTTTCTCTGTATCACACTGCATTGATACACTCTAGAAGTGTATTTTAGGAGTGTACATGGAGTGTGTGTCTGTGGTGACTAAACTTGACTGCAAAACTCACAATATTTGTTGATAAGGAGTTTGTTAAGATAATTTTAAGATAATTGTTAAGAGTGGTTGATAAGAAGTTTGATAAGAGAATTTTCTTTGCTGGATTCTTAGTAATAGCACAGTTACTGAAAGCTAATCTTACAATATAAAAATAAATTTGGAAGTAATTTAAAAACAAGAAATAAAATGTCATTTATACTCCCCAAACCAATGCAAAAAGCCTTATAGCATGCTTTTAAAGTATTTCTCCTGACCAAAGAACCTGTCCTTCCTTAAAAAACAATGTGACATGTTTCTTACCTGATTTTATGAAATGAAATCCATCACAGATCCTAAAGAGAATATAGCCACAGAAGCTAGGTTCTTCAGATGAGATTTTTTTTCCCTACTGTTTAATGTTGCTTTCATAAAGGATGCAAAATAATAATTAAAATGAAAAACATTCATAATTATGCTGTGCTAAAAAAGAGTTTCTAATGACAACAGAACTGTGGAAGACTGGAAAGGATTCAAAGATTTCACTCCTTCCTCCCCCAAAATGCATGTATTTTCAGGTGGTTTGTATATTCTTAAATAAGATAGTCTTTATATCAGAAACCTGAATAGTATTCATGTATCACACTGAAAAAAAAAAAAAATATTAGCACAAAACATCCATTCTTTGACGAAAGCCCCACCAATGTATACCCAGGGCTGAAGGCAAGGGTACATACTGCTACGTGTGATGCAAGAGAACAAGTTTTCTGTTGGAAGAAAAAAATCATCAATGTGAACAAATACCTGAAAATTTTTATTTTTCAAACAATTACTTCAGTAATACCATACTGAAGTCATACCATTAGTGTTTGCAGTGTTTAAGAATCCTTGAACAAAAGATATCACAGGAAAGTAAATACTACATAGATATTTCACAGAAATATTTGAAGAGCTTTGTCTTTTAAACTGTTAAGCTACGCTAAAAATGACGCAGAACGTTTATTGATGCCTAGAAATATTTCTATATTCAGAATTATTTTCTTAAAAATAGTCCCTGGATTTTAAATTCCTTTGCCCCTAGAAGTAAATGTTTTTTACATACTACCTGTAGAAATGCCTGTATCAAAATACTTATGTACTGGCTAAATATGCTTCTCTAACCCTTACAAAATGTTTCTAACCTTTGAAAGAAAAATGTAAAGCAATTGGTACTTAATGAAGCCAAAGCTTTCTATAATCCCTGTAAGATTATCATTCTGTCTTCCACAAGTTATGTTCTTCTATCGTTTTGGTAACCATTACCTTCTTTGTACCAGCCCTGCTTTCAGAAATATCTACTCTAAGCTCACGTTCCTACGACAGAACTGGAAAATGATGAAGCCTAACTAGACATGAAAATGAAAATTGTATCAGTGAAAGAAAAGTTGCCGATTGTCATCTTTGATTTAGCTTTGATGACAACTCATCTCTTTACCTTGATATCGTTAGAATCTAGGATCCCAGTTTTATTTGTCAATATTACTGTTTTCATTTCAGCTAGGCAGACAACCTTGATATGTAAGTAGCTAAAAAACACAAGACAACATAAATTCTGTAACAGCACCTCTACCACAATATTTTTCTTCCATAGATTTGCTCAATTTGTATTGTTCAGACATACAGACTGAATTTTCATTGCAAATTTTTATTCAATTAATTGTATACATTTTTTTTTTTTTAAATAATGCTTCGCTCTTAGGGCAGAAAAGTTCATTGTGATGGAAAAAAACATTTTTTAAGGCATGTCTTTACCGTGTTACATCTATGATGCAGTATTAAGGCTACTAGATGAAAAAATACAAATAATACAGAAAAGATAATAAACTTAGGTTTATTGTATTTTCTTATTTTTCTCGTGTAGATAAACTAGGGATTGTATTTTTATTTTTTTTAGTTACACTTAAAATGGAAAGAGTTGTATGACCTTTTCTGTTGCTCGCTGCAGAAGCATTACACATTATTTTCATTACTTACAAATGTCAGAAAAACATTCAGAATAAATGCCTAAGTAAATAGAATACATTTCTAAAGCCCTGTCCCTCCCTTACCAATACATTTTGAATTGCAGGTAGCCATAGTAGTTCAGTGGTGGTTACAATCAAGGCAAGTAAAATGAAATAAATAAAAACCCCCAAACTTTGTACAACTAGACCAAAAATGAACATTGATCCTGCTTCAAGCACATTGATACAATAAAATAAAATCTTTTGACTTGAGATTTTGACTTGCGATTTTAATGTACAGTAAGACTCTAAAAGAAGAATCTTTCTTGCTTTTTAATATAGTGTGACTCTAACCATAACTATTTTAGCTTATATTTTTAATCTAATTCTTAAGCCACTAGGACTCATGCATCTATATACTTTTGAAAATTTGTGTTTCAGTGTCAAGTTGTTCAGGCATTTTTTTCATTATTACTTTAGCCCTGATTTCTGATGTGGGAAGATAAAACTGAGCCTCCAAACATAAATGAAGAATTATCTAAACTCCTCTATTCACAGAAATACAGTAGCCCAAAGGCAAACAAGGAATACAAAGAGCAACTGGCAGCAGGGCAGGATGTCACTTACTTATTGTAGTTCGGGACAATTCTTTAACAGTTTGGGTGAAATGAATGATTGGAGTATGGTTTCAAGTAGACAGGTGCATTACATAACAGAGAACACCTCAAAGTTGTCTTCCTTGATAACTTTATTCTCAGAAATGATCCACTCACTGCATCTGAGACGTGAAGGAAGGCAACTGGTAGGGGGACTACAAGCTAAAACCTATCATTTTATTTAATCAGAGACACATTTATAATTCAGATGGTTATTCTGTTCCTTTTCTCCAGATGTAAAATAAGAATATAAGTAGTTCTGCTTTTCTGACTGGATGCTTAATTAGTTTGCATGATAATGAGAGAATCACAGATTTAAAGTACTATGGAGCTGCCCAGTATTAACAATCTTTTGATGTTAAATATCAATAGCATGCAAAATGCAAGTGTCATTACGCTAGTAAGATAAACTTTATTCTTTTTGTATTATAGTTTCTTGCAATCTAGCAGTGTTTTACCATGGCGCCATTCATGAGAATATGAATTGCCTGCACGTGTCTTGCCCAGCATTGGAAAGTTGCATACTAAAGGCTCGAATCAATGTCATTTTGTACAACATCACAACAGGTAATTAAGCATTCCATTTATAAAGGCTGAAAACAGCAATGATAGGAAATGTTAAAATTACACTAGGTCAGTTGCTGTGCTAGAAGATCTACTGAAGTAAAATGTAATGCTAAAAAAGCATCAGACTTTTTAGTCTTTTCATTAATGTACCTACTTCTGAAAATACTTCCCCCCTTTCTTCTATTCAGTATATGAGAAGGGACCTTAGGGAGACACTCTGCTCTCAAAATTCATGCTCTGAGTACCTAATCAATACTATGTTTGGGGAAAATACCACACCAGATTGGAGGCTACCACTGCTCATGTCCCCAGATCCAACCAGTATTCCCATTAGGCACGTGCACAACGAGCCCACACACATAGCACAAGCACACATACAGACACAGCCAGCCGCACAGGTAACGCAGACGGACGCGTAAAGCAGACACATGAACACAGGTACCACCAAGAGCCTCCTCCTGCTTCTTCTGGCTGCACAGGATGGAGATCTCCTAGTGAATATATATATATATATATATATATATATGTATATAAAAAATATGAAGGGTCTGGAGCACAGGTCTGCTGGGGAGTGGCTGAGGGAACTGGGGGGGTTCAGTCTGGAGAAGAGGAGGCTGAGGGGAGATCTCCTGGCCCTCGGCAACTCCCTGCCAGGAGGGGGCAGAGAGGGGGGATGAGTCTCTGGAGCCAAGGAGCCAGCGCCAGGCCCCGAGGGAATGGCCTCAAGCTGCCCAGGGCAGGGTCAGGCTGGCTCTGAGGAAGGATTTCTGTGCAAAAGGGGCTGTTGGGCGTTGGAATGGGCTGCCCAGGGCAGGGGGGAGTCCCCGGGATCCCTGGAGGGGTTGAAGAGTCGGGCTGAGCCAGCGCTGAGGGATCTGGGGGAGGTGGGAATGGTCAGGGGGAGGGTCATGGTTGGTCTGGAGGAGCTTCGAGGTCCTTTCCAACCGAGATGATTCTGGGATTCTGTGATATATACACATATATGTACAGTACGAATCCCCCCAGCAGGTGGGCTCAGATGCTCAGTTAGCCCAGTCTGGACCCCAGTCTCCCCAGTTGCTGTCACCCAGACTATGAGCCCCCGAGGGCAGAGCCCTGCAGTTGCTGGTACAGACACACCCCCCACCCCCGAGCTTGCCAGGACTCCCCTACTCCCCGGTAGTGTAGATCCCTCTCTTTCCTCACTTTGGTTCCTTCCCTAAGCATCCTACAGTAAATCCTGTCCAATCCCAAATTGCACATCCTTTGCATCCCGTAACATGTCCCATAACCCTAGGCAGTGACACCCCCAGTCCAAAAGGTGTTGATGGGTATTATTTGGGCTCCTCGACCTGCCACTATCTCCATGTGCTCCTTTCGTGGGTGTGCAGATGAGCTTTTAACCCATAAACTAACATATTTATGATTTAACAAGGATTGATCCAGATCTTCTCATCTTTGAAAAACTGACATCCAAGGAGCCAAATACTCAATCACTGAGTAAATATGAAAGGCAAAACAGCACAAAGACCACTGAGTGGGAAAGATGCCAGCATCATAATGCCACGTCAAGTTCTCTTCTGCGCCAAGCTCCATCTTCTACCACTAGCCATGGCTTAACAGCAAACACTTACATCTCCACCACAAGCCAAAAAACTGAAGTTACTACTTATTCCAGGGCAGAAACATTTCTCCCGGATGATCATTTTGCTAAGAGCACAAGCACAACTTCAGCAAGCACTACATCAATCACCAGCTCAAACAAGAAGTCTGTACCCTCAACTTTGATATCTGAGTCTGCCAAGGTGTTTTCCCGCATGCCCACTCCCCCTCGTCTGAACAGCAGTAAGCAACACTTAAATGAAACCAAAGGCTACAGCGGTAGGAATTATACTTCAGATAATGAGGCATCTGCTTGGGAAGCTGCAAATTTGGGTGTCTGGTTGATTCCTGTGGTTCTCTGCTCTTCTCTCATCTTCCTTTGCTGTTGTACTGTTGCTTTCACAGCAGGACGTTGCAGCAATAGGAGAGGTCAGTATAAGCCCATAAGGAGAGGAAGAACAACGTCGAGACAATTCATAAAATATACTACTGTCAAAGGTAATTTGTAAAATACTGTCACCATCCTTGTTTTGGAACAAATAGCTTTTAAAAAATGAATCGTATATACCAGCTTATTTCTTTCACAGAACCGAAGATAGTTTTTTTCAGTGATGGTTTCAGAATCTTTCAAGTTCTAATTTAATTCTCAACAGATGAAATACAATTCTCCTGTCTCTTTAGGTAGGAGTACACAGTCATAGCTCCTGCTGCATGCTCAGAGGTGTTTGAGCACATTTTGGTTCCCGTGACCCAGACTAAAGCCTGACAGTATACACTTTCCCTGACTCAAGAGGGCAGATTTACTGCAGCTCACGTATCCTTTCCCCTGAGTTCGAACTAACCTGAGAAAATGATGTGTAATCAGTAAAACTGACCAATGTGTTATAGTATCATAAAATCGTTTAATCATCCTTTAATCGCCTCAGATCTCATTGTTTGTAAAAAAACTGTCAATTTTTCTCCGACTTCTAGATTTACTTTTTCCCCTCATTTATCCCTAATATTGAGACAATCTAGCCCGCACTCTTTACTTCTTAAAAAAAAAAACAAACCACCAGAAATAACCCAAGTCCCCAAACCGACTGACTTCCATTAACTCACACCCAAACATCTGATCATTCAATCTTCACACTTTACTTTCACCCCACTTCTCACTTCACCCTTCTGATAACAATCATTTCAAATGTTTTTCAAGTCCCTTCAGAAACACCTTCAGACTTAACTGCTTTTTTTGTTTGTTTTTGTTTTTACCCGCTCTGGTAATGCACATTGAGAAATCCATTCTGTTATTGGCTAAGGAAAACACAAATGCAGGTAACATTTGTTCATGCCTTACAATTAGCATTGATCTGTGTTGTCCACCTTGGCTTGCTTTTTCTTGCCTACTCATATTTATCATTTACATCATCAGCTTTTTAGAACAGGGACAAGTCATTTAATGTATGTTGCACAGGAATACACAAAATGTTTTGAAAGCTCTGTACGTGAGCTTTATAATTAAAACCCCCTTTTGTGTTTCCTCATCCTGTATACTCTATTCATGAGTGCTACTCGTGAATATATATCAAGTGACTAGATCAACAAGGTAGCAAGGTATTTCCTTGCCTTACCTTAGTCAGGAAGTTTGCTTAGCGAAGCAAACATTTTTAACAGTAACCAGCATTGTTTTCTTCCTCTTTTAAACTTGCTGACATCTCAGAGTTTCTCACTTTCTTCACTTGCTCTAAGAAGTTTCTATTTCCCAGGCAAGTGTAAATGTTATAAAAGGAAACAATAAAAAAATAAAACTGATTGTCATGTCTGTGTTGCAGAAAATAATTTTAAAACCAGTAAGATTCATGCAGTGTTCAAAGAGTGCACTGATGGGGCTGTAAGGTCACAAGAACACCTGTTTATAGTCGAGCAGGGACCTCTCTAACATTATATTTTAGCCCACATTGATCAGCACTGTAGCTTGGAAAACTGAAGTTTAAAAAACCCTTTGTTTGCAGTATTTGATTGACCCTATATGTTAATTTATATGAATAGAAGAGAGACTGACACAGGATAAGAACATTTTAAAGGAGTGTGGTTAGTTAATCAGTTGAAATAGCACCAAAGAAATTCCTTCTATTTTAGCTAGAAAAATTAGAATTAGGTAAGATTTATTTTTAAGGTCCGTTCTATGCTTATATATAGTGATACAAACTCTAGAGAGGTGCCCACTGCATGATGTACTTTAAATTTGAACAAGCTGACTTTTACCATCAAAGTGTACTTTCTTAATTCATCATGTGGCTGAATCTAGCACATAATTTAACTATCACTAAAAATTTCAGCTAAGAATGATGAGAACCTGATGGCTCTTCTGAGTTAGAGGAAGTTGACAGGTATTATTTTCCAGGATTTTAACACCAAAAGGAAAGGAACTAGGAGAAAGATACTCTATATTGTATCGAAGGACGAATGTGGTGCTATTGTAAATAAAGAACATATGTCTCATATGATATGCTCATCGTCTCAGGGGGAATCCTCAAGGATCTGACTCTGAAGAGTCTGACTCACTTCATCAGGTAACAGAGGAGGAACTCAGTTCCTCAAATTGTAGATTACAGTGATGGGCTTTATATCCTTTCTCCACAATTTATGCGGGGAATGGTGATGTGCACCAACACCATCAATGTGCTTTTTTAGTCTAGGAGCTGCAGGCCATGTGGTTCAGGATTCTCTTTGCACACTGCTCTAGCAACCATTTTCTGTCTGTAGTTCCCCAAGTCTGCCTTTTTAACCTTTTTAAAAACGGGGGTTATGTTTCCCCTTTTCTAATGAGCAAGAACTTCGCTGGACTGCCAAAACTTCTCAAACATGATGGATAGTGACTTAACCACTTCATCTGCCAGTACCCTCAGGACCCAGAGATGCATCTCATGGACTTGTGCACCTTCAGGTTCCTCAGATGGTCCGCAGTTTCTCCATCTCCAGATTAGTGACTATAGTGCACTTAATAGTACCTTGTTGCTCCTTTGATATTTACCCTCGATATTATGTTCTGTAGAATCATATAATGGAACCAGGACCTCAATACTCACCAGAAAAGCCAGACTGAAGTGAAAATTTATATCTGACCCATGTGCAAATGCTTCTGGGGCAGGATAGAATGACTAAAATATGTAAGATCATGTTCTGGAGAGTCTTCTTGGTTTGTTGGCATATAGAGAAAAACATAGGAAGAAAAAGGGTTAGATAAAACACAGTAGCAGAGTCACAAGAAAATAAATACATACTTTTCAAGCACGAGGGAAAACAAGGAATGTGTAGAAAGATAGTTTGTCCAGATAGCATGTCCCTTTTTAGACAACTGTCCCTTTATCCTTTATAGGATATCATTTTATCCTTTATAGGACTGCTTGTAGCAGTCTTATGCATGAAAACAGGGCAAAAAGTGTCAGCTCCAGTCAGGAGTATAAATAGTGCCCTGAAGACCATGAGATTATCCGTAGGGGTTTACCGACTCTTCACACACAGCCAGTCACATTCAGGTTTAGAGCTTGGTGAAGTTACTAGTTGTAACATCTACTTTCCTTGCCAAAAACTGAATTATGTCTCTGTGCAGGCCTTCTTGCCTAATCTGAGCAAGAGATTATGCTCAGCGTGTGACAGCCCTTCTTTAAAGGGCAAAAGTGCAACAGAACATAGACAAACAACCTCAAGAAACTATTTAGCGACACTTTGAACGTTTCACTTCACAACTCCGAGCACAGTTTACTAAAGACATCTTATGCCAGAGATTACAGTAGTTTCTAGATGCAAAAAAATCAGCCAGAATACTGACAAAGCAAGTTCTTTTCCAGCTTGACCAAGAGCTAGATCTCAACCTTTCTTTGGAATGTTTATATGGGAGATAAAAGAAAGGTTACTCTCCTCAACAAGCACCAGTGAAACTATGCATCACAACTGTTCCAGATGGCCAAGAACTTAACTCGTGTGAGTTTTTTTTCCATTGGAGACAGCTTATTTTTCCTTGCCGTAAGGAACTTACTTTTCCAGTTTGCGGGGGCAAGTGTTTGGATTTGAAATGAGACATCTGCTACTTGGAGGTTGGAACAGTGACCGCAGAGAAGCACATATAGTAGCCTTCCTGCTCAGGTTTCAATGTGTGATGGACAGGGTTGCCTGAGGTCAGAGCTGTGAACTAGCTCCATGTTCCTCTTGGCCATAAATACCAGTAAGAGAATTACCTATGGAGACAGCCAATGCCTCTAGATATAATGTGTGGTTTTTGGTCCTCCTTCCTTTTGAATTTATGCAGCAGGGGGCCTAGCCTGCTTCTTGATTTAAGTGTTACCTATCTACATTTTGATCTAAAAGCAACACGAGCGCTTCCATTAATAAGAACATACATACACACCTTAGTCATGCAATCACGTTATAATGTACAGAACACACTGGGAAGTGACGATTGCTAAGTATGTCCTTATTACTGTGCTGGAGAGTGCTTAACCTCTAAGTCTATTACTCTTTAACTCTTCATAGCTTTTAAACTTCAGTGCAACTTTCCACTGAGGTGGCCTGCAAGAGTATTATATGGGAAAATAAAGATGTGCAGTTTAGTTCATAAAAACATGTGCTATATTATACATCACCAAGTTTGGGAGGACTTACACCAGAGCTACAATCCCAGTGTACTAGGTATTCTACATAATCACAGATAAATACCGCCACCCTCAAACACTAACAGTGTAGAGGGAGAAGGAGAAAAGCAGAAACATCCAAGATGACAAAGAGCTCAAAATACAACTCAGGCTACCTTTGATCCAGTCCACTGCATTGCACAAGTTTTATGCTGTAACATTTAAACCATCAGCAAAAATCACAAGTGTAACTCTGAATTTTACATTACCTTTGATTCTAGCAGTTTGATTGGACACTTAGAGGATTATGAAGGTTTTTAATTTTGCTTGCGTGTTTCTTAGCAAGGAGAGGAAAAGAAGATAGTGTTGAAAGCCAAGGTTGGAGGTCAATTTTGGCCAGCAGGCCAAGTGTTCTATAGCCATAAGGTCATTAAGACAGATACTACCGGAAAACTAGTGTCTCTGACAATTAATTTCCGATGGTAAGTGTTGGATGCAGTTAGTGAATGAGTCCCAACGTTGTTCTTGGCCAGTAGGTATAATCTACTGGTTGCTGGTAGACACATTTGAGTATCCTGGCACTCAGGAGACAGCCACCTTTTATCCTGCCTCTATTTCTTGAAACATTTATAGAATGTATGTAAATTAGGCTTGAACACTTCAGAGGGAACTGTAGAAGCCCGTGCATTTTAGGTTTCCCATGAATTAGCCATGAAGCTGATGAAATGCTAATGCAATCAAATGAGAAAACAATTCCCCTTGCTGTGCTGTTCTTTCTACCAGCCATCATGATTAGTAAAGTCGAATTGCTATTTTAACTACAACTTTCATACAGAGTTCTTCTTCGGTCCATTTAAAGTCTACAAAAGAGCAAAGGAAAATTGAATTGTCCTCTGTTGCAGAGAGGATTTTATCAGGTGCTCACATGTCCTGAGTGTGTAAGGACAACTTTTACGGAGAAAACAAGCTTATGGAGTTCTGGGTTTCTTAAAACGTTTACTCATAACAGTCTGGTACAAGACACGGCACTGCAAAACAGTTATGTATGCTTGCTAGTAGGCCAGTCCTTATGCAAGCACTGACAGAGCTAATTAAGAAAACAAATTTCTTTTGTGTACATGCTAGAAGCAAATTGCCTTTGGAATAAAGCCAGGCACAACTCCACCATCCACACAAGTCTGAGTCAAACTGCAGTTACTTCCTCCATAATTTTGGTTTCATGGCTGTTCAAAAAAAGATTAGGAATTACACAATGTACTATTTTAAATGAGAATTTTAAACATTACCCTCATTATCCCTTAATAAAGGAACAACCTAAGAATAGCAAAAGATTTCCCCGTATTAAGCTTCTGCTAAAAGGCCACATTATCAAATCTAAGAGGAAGGACTACAAAATAACCAAGTGGGTAAGTGCAAAATTGGGATTTCAGCATTTTCAATTTTAGCTACAGCTCTGGCAAATTCTCACAAGGAGTAAAAAGCTGCATTAAACTCAGTCTCCTGCCATATGAAAACAATCTTTACCTAAGAAGAATCCTTCCAAAACTGACGTTTTTGGAAACGTGAATACATACACTCTTTGGCTGTATGTAAACACAAAACAAGAAGAAATCCTAGCAGTGAGTGAGTCAAGCCACACAGAACACTTTACAGAAATCAATTCCCTTCAGTTTTCAATGTCCTCATTCTAATGCCGCTTCATCTCAGTGAGTTGCTGGCAGGGCCACACGCGATGTTCTTTTATCGGTATGCAGAATCCTTAAGTCTGATGAATAAAAACTGCCCCTTCCAGACAGTGAATACTTTCTCTCTAAGCTGAAATCCTAGTAAGCCAGGAAGGTACAATAAAAGCAAGAACAGAGTTATTTACGTGCTTTCGATTTGATATTAAGGTCGTTTTTTTCTTAACTGTGAGAGGGAAATAAATGTTGCCTATAATTCCAGTGTTTCAAATCAATTAATTTCAAATACAAATTATCAAGTATAAGATAAAAATCAATATTATTTCTTTCTCTGTGCTTCACAGCAGTAAGCTGGGTGATTTTTTCCTTGAAGAGCCTGGGTACGTTCAAGAGACAACTCAACTGGCCTCATGCCACCAAGACTCAGTCCATTCCTATTTAAGCTCTATAATCACCTCACTACTCACCAGCTCTCACTTTCAGCAACTCTCATCATTCTTCCTCTCCAACGTACTTCGGTATCCTGTCAATAACTGCTAGTTCACCTTCCCACTACCCATCCCATTTTCTACTTCTTTTCTTCCATCATTTTATGCAGGTATTTTTACTTAGGGTATTGTTAGCCTTCCTGATGACAACAGAGACCCTCACACTACTCCGTGTGCTTCAACACCTTTCCAAAAGGTAAGCTACTTAGGCAACATTATTTTTATTTTACGGATAGGGAGTACAGATTCAGAAAAATCTGAGTGACATTTGAAAAGCATTTAGAAAGTTTAGAGCTCTTAATTTTTAGGCTATTAACAAATGGAACCGAGACCCTAAGTAATTTCATTCTTTTTGATGCTGTTGCTCTAAGTTACGTGAAAAAACAAGTTGTGTGAGAAGTCAGAATGTGATTAAGCAGAGAATGTGAACCAGGATCTCCCAAGCTAAGAAAGCACAGAATCGAATGTTCAAGTCACCAATATGACTTAAAACATATTTTATTCAAAGAATAAGATTCACAGACAGGAAAATTACCCTTACAAGCCAATCCAGTGGTAAAGAAAGATCTGATTAACTCATCAGTAAGCTTCATAGTTTTGGTTAAGGTTCTGAATAATTATATACCCATACCATACAGAAATATTAACACAGCGTTTTAATATTTCCATGATAATCAGGTGTACCTGCAGGGTCTGCTCTCATGGTAATGCCTGTATATTCAATAGTTTCTTGACGGATTCCTTATACTGAGACATGTTATTTTCTGTTTCACCTTCATTTTTAAGTGCAATTACAGAGTTTCTGTAATTCTTAACCACTTCAGATGCAAGCAGCTCTTCCTCAGTTACATTACTGACATTCTCTGAGGCTTTTATTCGAAGTAGTGTATCCAAGGCATTTTTCTGAGAACAGCTGTTTTCCCAGATATACTCTTCCATGTCTTCCTCAGTCTTCTCGCTCTCCCACATTTCCGTTTTCTGAAAGAAAATATACATCGTCTTAAAAACTACTCAAGACTGAAACAAAGCGACAATGATTTGAAGAAACTTATACCAATTCGCTTTAAAAATCACATTCGTTGTGGAAGATATTTCCCCTCCTCTAAAGTCCAAGGCTTGTAACTCAAGCCTCAGAGTTCAAAAGGTGCCGGTATGCTGCACATTTTCTGTGCAGAATGTGTTTCTTTCCTCCCACTTATCAAGTTCTTTATGTATCTGGCAGATGTTAACTAGACAAGTCAGAATGGGAAGAAAAGCTTATGGCCTTTCGTTATAATGAATAACAAAAAGCCTTGTAAAAGTATTAATTTTAAATAAACCTAAATGCTCAAGGTTTGGAAGTAGCCACCTAGCTATTATGTCCCTGGTATGTTTACACTGGCTATAAGACACAAAGTGAGACAGCTCGTACCAAGTAGCATATGATGAGAGACAGCAATCCTTCAGTATTCAGGAAACGCTTTGACTGTGACTCATAAGGAAAAGCACCACCAATTAATCCATTTCCTCTTCCTGCAAAACAAATTGCTCCTCAAAATAATCTCTGTCCACAAAGTGCTATTTTTTTTTTACCTCATTAGCGCTGCAAGATTAGACAGGATCAAAAGTTGAACACAGGCTGAAGCCATCATCCCAGTGCCTGTAAATACCTGGCTCGTGCAGTTGTTCTTTATAATTTTTGTCTCTGAACATTTCACTGATTCAGCAGAGCTTCCCCTAGCTTCACAGACTGTTTAAGGGATATTTCCAATGTTAAAACCTGCTATTTTTGTATATTCTTTTATTGTACTTTGGTAAATATATATGATTTGTAGATATAGTTGTATTTTTATATGTTGCAGATCATGTATTTATTTGTATAATTTAGTACTTTACTGATGTAAACAATACATAGTGTCCTTATTTCAACTATTTAAGAATCACAATTTGAAATATTTTTGGTGGTCATGGTTTTTTTTACAGCTCTTGTAGAAATCACATCTAAATAAAACTTATTTCTCTGGGAATAAGTTCAAAGAAACCTTATAGTAAAGCATTTACAACATAGATTTTATTTTTATTTTTTTTTTTTAAATCCCTTGCCAGAAAGGGCTCTTCAGTACATTTTTAGCTATGCTATGCAGAATCAAAATAAACCTGGCAATCACAGGAGGGTTGGGGTTTTTGTATGGCTTTTTGGAGGAGGCGAGGTGGGGGCATGTTGTTGGCTTTTGTTTATTTTGAAGTATTCTGTCCCCTAGTCAACAAGGTTGCTGCAGTCAAACCACAATGTTTAATAACCTTTAATTAAGACCTAAGATTTTTTTTTTTTTTTTCCCCTGCAACCCTTTGCGCTTGCTGAATTTAAAAATACTTTAACAAATGCTGCATCCTGCACCTGGTAAATAGAACCTCTTGTCTTTTAAATCTCTGAGTCTAAATGTTTAGACAGAAACAGTGATTAACACTGCTAAAAGGCTCATATGACTGACATTAAAACCTGGACACAATACAACACAGAAGTAAAAGAACCTTATTCAATTTCTAGAGGGGAAAAAAAAAAAAAAGACATACTGTAGCCTGCATGGCTAAAACAGTAGCAGAACAAGTGGGTATAAAATATTCCTTCTATGTTTGAAAAATACTTCAATTAAGTGTTGAGATAGTTTTCAATTAATTACATCATCCTGTTATACATATCCCTTGTTTATCTGCATAATGGCTATCTAACACATTTTTTTCCTAAACTCCAAAAGAATTTTAAAGCAAAAGGTTCTCTCACAGGGATAGGGTTTCTCAAGAGTAAGGGAATATGGGTATTGCTGCTGGTCACTCCCTCGACCAACCTCGTGTTTGAAGTTCAAACAAAAGATCCCTGTGAGGTTTTTAAACACCTTTAAATTATAGCGGAGACAACAAGAACTAATTACCATCATTACATTTATCTCTGCAGGAAAATCCTTCTCTGGACACATTAACTTGGAGGATTTTGGAGATGTACGCTGATAAAAGATTGAGATTTCCCTTTTTCGTTTGGGTGATACAGAGCAAGGAGATTTTAAAGGAGGCCAGAGAAACTGTTAAGCATTTATTTCTTGGAATCCTTCCCAACAGAATGGTGTGTCAAAACGGATTTTAAAATTAAAATCTGACTTGCAGAGGGGAGCAAGGCAGGAAGGGATTTGCAGTAGGGGGAGATTTCAATATCCGTTCCTCAGCCCTGCTACAAGAAGCCAGTATCCATCACTGCAACGTTGGTGGCCATGCCTCAAAATGAGAAGTCATCCCCCTGTACACAGGTCCAGACATACATCACAAACAGGAAACCGAACAGAAACCAGATTTTTGCAAAACAACTGTATTGAGTGAAACTTAAATATGTTTCCAACCAGATTTATGGCAAGAGGAAAAATGACTCTGGAATTATACGTTCATTTGAAAAAGTACCCTAGGTAGACAAGCACCCATGAACTCTGACTAGTGGAGGTGTTACAAGTGTTTTAAGTCCCAGTTTAAAGTGTTATGAAGAAAACTAAGGAGACAATGAAAGAAACTTCAAAAAAAAGGTCTTCATCACTCAAGCTTTGTTAATCGATGACTTTTGTTCCCATCAAATTTAAAGTGTTAGTAAATACTGCACTAAGTCTTACAAACAAGAATAAAACCATGAAAACTGGAATGCAAGTGTGGCATTGTGTAACGTTTTGATAAAAACCCCACTTAGCGAACAAGGTTAAAAATCAAGAACCGTGGTTTTTTCTGCACTGAATTCACTACAGATGATTGTTTCATTCTATCACACATAAAACAGAATCTCAGTGAGTATTAATCATCTTGGCTGAAGATGCAATCAGCTGGTAATTTCAACTGTTTCTCTTACCAAAACTTTCAATAAGAACCACAAAACTCAAACAAACAAAAAAAATCAGGAAAAACAGCTTTTCATAGAAAGTCAACGGATCTAAATCTACTGTTAAAGAGGCATAGAAGAGATTTTTTTTTTTTCCACACTTCCTAATGCAAATATAGAGCATTTTTAACACCATAAACACACTAAGAATTTGTTTCTAAGCAAATCTTTTATGCTACAGTTTAAGCAGTATTTTGGGAGGTTTACAAGCCTTTACAGTGCTTAATCTGACATGCTGACAGAGTACAAATACTAAAATTGTGCTCTGGCCAGTGAAATTGCTTTTTACATAGAAGTCATTAACAAAAAGCTTCAATTTATATTGTACCTTTAAGTATAGAAGAAAGGAATCCATTTTTGATCACTTAAGCAGGCATTTCATCATTTTCTGTGTTTTTGTGCGAGTTTAACTTTCATCATTTTGCTGTCAGAGTGATACGGAGGAAGATTAGAATTGTCAATTTTAGTGGTGTTGGTTTGTTTGTTTGTTTTGGGGTTTTTTTTTGTTTTGGTTTGGGTTTTTTTTTTTTGGGGGGGGGGTGTTGTTTTTTTTTTGGTGGTGGTTTTTTTTTTTAGGGGAAGGGAAGTTCTTTAAGTTGCAAGTCAAATTTCAACCTCTGTATTGCCTGGAATAAATACACCTATTTCTTAGTGCTGCACTGAAATGAAAAATACTCTGTGTAGTACAGTAATCACAGATTTTCAGGTAATAAGTGAGAGCTATACTAGCATTTGCCAAATTATTGGGTTCCTTCAATCCAAACATGAGTTGCGAGACAGTTACATACTCATCTCTCTTTGGATATATTTACACCTTTCAATTGTACTATTTAGTTGGCAACTTAAAAAGAAATATCAACATGAATTTATATAGAGGCAAAATGTATCTGATGAGATTGGATTGAAAAAAAATGGTTTGTTGATGCAGAATAGGTAAAAATACATTCTTCTGAATGAGCAGAACATTATTTTCTAGGACACAGACAGCAGTGGCACTGGGCTGATAAGACCCTCAAGGAAAAAAATCAGGATAAAGACTGAGGACTTAACATTCCAGCAAGGTACAAATGTAAAACACAAAAGGAGAAGAAGCAAAGAAGAAAGAACAGAACCCTGCCTCAAAAATAATACTAGATGTAAAAGATGCTCTCACACTTGATGATACTCACAGGTTTAAGCTCTGGTTCTGTCACTAATTTAAGAGTCCTCAGCAGTCACCATCTAGTTCCATCTTTCATAAATGAGGACACCACCTAATTTCTCGGGGCTGAAGTGGCTGGGTGTATTTTCTGGAATATCCAGGCTTCTAAAAGGGCCATTTGTAAGGTATTTATCTAACTCAGTTTGTTTTCTGAATGTCGATCAGGTAAGACTCTGATCTCATCAAGACAAGTCAGTGATAGTAAGGGTCCAAATCTTTGATGATTTTCTGTTCATTTTTTAAATATCTATGCTTCATAAGACTTCATT